CAATTTGCTTTAGAAAAAGTCCATCTCATGATACCGTCTAGCTCAACCACATTACTTATATCAAACTTGATTATAATCGGAAGATGATCACTCCCAATACTGTTATTTGCCAATACTTCCCAACTGCTACCAGAAGCTAATTCACTTGTTACCAGAGTTAGATCGATCGCAGACTCTGTTCCATCTCTAAAATTGAGTCTTGTACCTTGCCCATTATTTAAACAAACTAATTAATTTGCCTCCATTAAGTCCTCCACCACCTGTCCGTTGTAATCTGTTGATCTCCCTCCCCACATTGTATTATGTGCATTAAAATCACCACACCATATTATTTCATTTCCTTGACAAAGACTGTCTAATTCCTCTATTTTGAGTTTATTACATGGATTATAAAAATTCAGGACACTAATATTCCTTTTATTAATCCAAACTTCTACACCCACTATTTCTAAATCATGACTGCTCTTAAATGTTAGCCTACTATAAGACATTATTTCTCTGATAAAGATTGCACATCCCCCTCCCTGACCATCATTTCTATCTTGTCTTATAGCACTATATCCCCCAATAATGAAGTCCAAATGATTCTTCAGCCATGTTTCTTGAATACAAATAACGTCTGGTTTTTCTTTTAACTGATATATATAGGTCTTGAATTCTTGTCCATTTGCAATAAGGCTTCTAGCATTCCACTGCAGAATGAGAAAAACCATCAATCTATTCACTAATCTGTGAATCATCATTATTGGGGGCTAACATATCATGTATCATTTCAACCGTTATATCCTTTATCCCCAAAAATTCACCTGCTGCTTCCACTATTGTTTTCAGTCTTGACCTCTTTTTTGTTTGTTGCAAAGCAACATTCACCACTTTTCCAATAAAGGCCACAAATGTGTACTTATTAACAATCAATGCATCCTCTCCTATCACACACTTATGTGAACACTTTGTGGAGCTTTCCTTTGCCTGTGGGAGTTTGGGGAAATCTTTTGAAGAGAATATACTTGCTGCTCCTTGGGATTTCCTAGCTATGTTTAGTGATACCTTTTCTGTTGCTTCAGAATATGAGACTTTATTTTGCACTTTGTATCTCTGCACCTCCTTGGCCTTTTTCTGCACTTCGCAGCCCTGATACGCAGCACTATGTTCCCCACCACAGTTACAACATTTCACCTTAGCACCTGCAGCACAACTACCATATTCATGTTCCCCCGCACATGTTGGACACCTGGGCTTATTTGCTTTGCACTTGTCTGCCACATGCCCAAACCTTTGGCATTTAAAGCACCGCAGAGGTTTAGGGATGAATTCTCTTACTGGAAAGCTCATGCAACCGATCATAATCTTCTGTTGAATTGTTTCTTCAAACTGAAGAAGAACAGACAAACTATCCACTATCTTACCCTGATACCTAGTAGGAAGACGCTTAACTACAGACACTTTTCCCCCTTTAATTTCTTTCTTGAGTTCTTCTATGCCGATTTCTATCGGAACTCCACTGATAACTCCAAGTATTTTCCGATTTGCTCCAGGAACATGGCATTTAATTCGAACTTCATTCAGGGTCTTCATTTTCAGTAACTTTTCCTGTTGTTTTGCATTCATCATTTCAACCAACATCCGTCCTTTGCTCAGAAATCTTGCTTGCTTTATCGATCCAATTTCTTTGTGAATCGCTTTAGTCAGGGCCACTGGATGTAGCTTAGCTGCGGATTGCTCACCAAACTCCACAATCACTTTCCGCTCTTCATTCTCAATCCTTTTCTTAACTTTCTTCAATTCATTCTGCGAATCAGATTCACTAAGACTGTCACTTGACATGTCTATCTTCTTTCTTGAAGTCTTTTTCCTTACTTCATTCCATCCTCCTTCTCCTTCAGATGCACTTTCCATATCCTCCTCTCCAGGACCCAAAGACGCCATTCCACCAGCTGCTCTCAATCTCGCACTCACGTCTCTCCTGCACCGTCTCACCCAGATTAATTTTAGAAGTGGGGGGGGGGCAAAAAAGTGCGTGTGTATGGCCCAATCCCAAACCACACCCTACCCCTACACACTCCCCCTCCGTGACGGAGTGACACATGAGGCTCCCTCCTGTCAGATGGAGGGAGTAAATACAGCGGCAAGCTTTGGGACAAACTCCCCTCTCTCCGGCAGAAACAGGAAATGCCGTAACTGTATCAACGGTATCAAATCAGCATCTCTTTGACAAAAAATGTAAATTAATAACTAAAATAAAACTCCAAACATCTCTAATTGTGTTACTTTTTTGTAAAGCTCTTTTAGTTTTAAACCTGATGTTTATAAGCTTCTTAGTTTTTGCAACAGTCTGTAAATATACACAACTTTATAATAAAATGCACACATTTACCTTTTTCTAGACTAAACACAGGTAGATCCTAAGTTAAAAACATATGAGGTTATCATGAGGTTGTTAACATCGCAGTTTATCAGTGGATGTTTGCTGGAAGCACAATAACTGCATGTTTTGCATTGCTTTTAAATGTCAGGTAATATAGTGGTGAGAGACTCCCGATACATTAGATTTATAAGTTCATTAATTGTCTCATGATGCATATTTCCCGGTGAGCATGAAGCTTTTCAGAGTGGGGTTTTTCTCAGCTACGAGTTCTTTTGGAAACTGCTCTCCTTATCCGCATGCCCCCTGATTGCTAGGCCCTGTCGGGTTAGAAACTGCAGACAGCGCAGTTGCTCCATCATTCCATCTCTTCTTTTTTCCTGCTCAATACGCTGTTGTTTGACAAGCTGTATGTTGACTGGTGTTTGACTGAAGAAAGCGCACTTTTTTTTAATACACTCTCTGTGGAAATTAGACTTTTCGTGGCTGTCCTGGAGGCTTGGGCACTTTTTCCAGTTATTAACTCCGATATTAACAAAGCTATCATCTCCACATTTTGAGAAAGTTACAAGCCGTTTGACAGCAAATCTGCATATTTCACAGAAGGCCCGTTTAGTGGTTTTGCAAAGAATTAACCACTCTCTGTTTTTGTACCATTCTGCATTGAAGTACCTTTCTCTTTGCCCAAATAATCTAGTGGTCAGTTAGCTGCAGCTTTACCCGTCTCAATGTCCCGACAACAAACCTCCATGCAGTCGGAACCAGCCTGTTTCGGTTCAACGACGGCGGTGGCGGCGGTTTTGACAGTCTCTGCGGCCGCAGAGCTGCTGCTTTTGGGTTCATCTGGCTTCGCTGTTTCTATGATTGATGAAGGTCCGGAGAAGTGGATGTCAGGGATGTGACCTTCCAGTTGTTAATTTAAGTTTAGATTGACTGTATAGTTTTCTTCTGCGCTGGTTCTTCTGACGTGTTTGCAAGTGTATATATTCTTTCTATCTAGGTTAAAGGCTGACACACACAGAACAACGTAACAAATAAAGTAAACAACGTAACGAATAAACACATCTAAGCTTTTTTATTGGTTGTAATTTACATGGATACATTTGAATGGTGTGACAATGTCCTATTTGATTGGGTTAAAATGTACATATTCTTCCTGTTATGTCTGCCTGCTTTATTTTACCTAATGCAAAGTGACCTGCTCCATCGAAATCAGTGGCATTGACGCGAAGACACATTTTGAGTTGTATACACTGCTGGAAAGAGGAGATTCATAGCTTTCTAATGATATCAGGATTGTTGTTGTAGGCTACTCCAAATATTAAGCAAAATATGTCACATTATATAATGACTGTTACAGAGTCATCATTTTGAGAAAAAGGCCTTTAAAGTTTCCTCTTCTCTGGATCGATCTGATTGATTATTAGCGGAGCAAATGATCAAAATAGTACGAAGGGAAGATAGGGGAAGCCCGCGAGTGTGTGTGTGTATACGTGTGTGTTTGTGTATTTTTGCGTTTGTGTGTATTGTGTTTGTTTCCCGGGGAAAACACTCACGAGAAACACCGGCTGTTCTTATGCGTGCTGTGACGTTAAGTTACTCCGGTCTCCGCTTGTAATTATGCCGTTACAAGCTTCAAAGTTGTATTTATCATCTGAATTTGCCGAAACAAGTTTAATATTCTGAAAGCCAAGACTTTGTTTATTTGAAATCAGATAAAAACAAACTGTAACGGACCCTGCCGTGTTATCTATGATTACTATACGCCTTACATTCATAATTTCAGCAGAGGGAGGGGAAGCGGCGCTGTGGAACAGCAGAGTGACGAGTGAGAGCTTTACAAGCTTAAAAAATGCCTGTAGCTAATGAGATTGAATATAACAATCAAACATAACAAAATATACACAGCTATATCAGATCGCGTTTTAGATGCGACTTTAGAGTAGAGGGGAATTATTGAAACGGGATTTGTACAGTGTTCCACGGCATCCGCCGCTGCGAAAATGTGAGGCAGGGCTGAAAAGTGGGGGGGCCAATGGCCCCCTGGCCCCCCCGCTTCCGGCGCCCTTGATTGTGATTAAATGCAGAAACTGATGTAACACCGACCTCTAGTGGTCAAGGTGATTACAAGTACATTTACTCAAGCACTGCAACTCAAAAACATTTAAATATAATGTATCTTTTTATCTGTACGTTAATCTGTGTAGATCGGACAAGGTTTCTATACTGACTGCAAACAGTCTGAATTTGAACATGCAATGGCTCCCTGGTGCCAGCAACAAAAAACGCCATTCATATTCTGGGGAAAATACAGTAATATGCAATACATGCAGCAGGGTTATTAATCCAGAAACACATATATATATATATATATATATAATAGGGAACAATTTAATGCGATGTTAACACTAGAGTACTTAAATACCTACACACTTTAACTTAAGTGAGGTTTTGAAGACAGCATGTTTACTTACTGGTTTATTTTCACACTGTGGTTTTAATATATTTATTTCAATAACTTTGTTGAGCTTGTTTTAGCTTTATTTGTATCTCACTGAACATAGTCCCTGTATGTGAACTTGTTCAGCTGATAAGGCTGGTTATGAAACAGAGAAGGGGGGGGCTGCAGACAGGGAGGCTTGTCAGAGTGCCAAACGCCATTTTACAGCTCGACGGAGCAGGAGGACAACAGGGTGAGTGTTAACACCAGGATCTGCTTTAGGCCCCGCTCACACGGGACCGTTTGCGTTTATGCACAGTATGCGTATTCAAAAAAGTCTTCCGTTCACATGCATTCGTTTCATTTAACGTGTCTGTTCAAACGAGGCCGCTGGAAACGCTGTAGTACATATGCCGGGACTGTAAGTGGCGCTGTAACTTCCGCCAAAATACACCAAAAGCCGCGAAGAAGAGCAGCCCGAGCAGCCCCGCTGCAATGTTGCCATGGCTACACTTCTGTTCATGCCCCGCGGTGTATTTAGCAACATGTAGTTCATGTAATTCTCCATGTCCACTTGTTGCTGATGGTTGTGGTAGAGGAGCTGTATATTTTGCACTAATATCTGTAGCATGGTCAGTAGCAGTAGCACTAGCAGTAGCTACTGACAGGAGGAAGTGTGTGTGGCGATTGCTGGTATTCAGCGGGATATAGTCATTTCCTCAGCATATGGATAAATGCAACGGGGAAGTTAACTGAAAGAAACCGAGTCTGTGGATATTGCATCGACCGACCAAGAAGCACGTCTCCGTGGAGAGGACACGCTCAGAAAGAGAGAGATATTCTCTACAAACACCGGGTGAGATCGCACCTTTGTCAATATAATGGGTCAATGCATGAAATCTGACTCTGTTTATTTTGTTTAAGGAGTATATTGGGCGTTAACAATTCTGGTTTGCCTTTTATAATATTATTTCATTCAAGAACCCCTTGTGCGTTTAATTAACACAGCTATTTTTGATAGTTGCTACAGCAGTGAGCAGGAGAGGTGCTATTTTTTTTTTTTTTCGCTATTTTTCGAGGAAATATTCGTATAGAGGTGATTACACGGACTCGGTTGACCCCCCAGAGCGTTTCGTTTGCAAATCTATCCACCTTGGGACCCGTTATCGTTTGTGGGGTCAGTTTCTATCGGCCTCGTGTAAATAATAGGGCTACGCACGCGAAACTATGCAGATACAAGCAGTTTTCTCCTCGTGTAAACGGCGCCTTAGATCCACATTTACTCTGTTTTACTGGATGTCAGAACATCAGCGTCCTAGAGTCCAATGAGACTTCTACAAGTGCTTTAAACTTGTTTTATTTCCTGTTTTCTGATTCATCAAAGCAACATAACATGTGACAGCCCAGCGCAGTCAAAATGGGGAGCTGTGTGTGTGTGTGTGTGTGTGTGTGTGTGTGTGTGTGTGTGTGTGTGTGTGTGTGTCATAATTACTGACATTATTAATACAAACGCTTTAATCTTAGCGCAGCTTTTTTACTCCTTAATATAAAGTTAGATAGTTTAGTCCAGAGGTTCTCAACCTAAGGGTCGGCCCCCTCCAAAGGTCACCAGGTAAATCTCAGGGGTGGAAAGAAGCAAATTATTTCTAAAACATAAATCTGTTTTCCCTTTCTAGACATGTCTCCAACATTGTATTTGTAATGAAATAATGATCATTTGTTATTTAGATGAAACCATGTGGGTTCGATAAATGTAGTCAGTAATAAGTGCAATGTTTCCCTCTGAGATGTATTGGATTAAACAAAAACAACGTACAGTACTTGAGGAAATATACTTAGTTACAGTCGGCCACTGGTAATATTAAAGCATTTAATGAAGTGAAGCTTTAGAGAAATGTTCATTAACTGAGAACATATTGTGTGTATTTACCACGTGTTGTTCCTGTGTTTCCAGCAGGGGGAGACACATCCTAATGAACACGTGGTGATCAGAGATCTGACCCTAACATACCAGCAGGTAACAGACCAACATTACATTAAATTACATTACATTAAATAATATGAGGATACACAGCATGTGTGTGTGTTGATCTGTGGCTAACAGGAGTAAACAAGTGTGTTGTTTTTGCAACTTTTTTACATTTTTTACACTTTTTTGTGAGAGTGGCTTCAGCTAAAATGTCATTCAAATATTCATATAAAATCAGCACCAAAAAGGCGTGTCCTACTCATGCTTTTTAAATAAAACTGCTGAATTTTCTAAACAATCTTCATTATTGTTTCACTAAAAAGGTTTGTTCTAGTTTTCCAGTGTAATACTATCTGCTCAATTGGCCTCATTAAAATATGTATATAAAATATATGAAGCCCTTAAGTGTGTGTGTGTGTGTGTGTGTGTGTGTGTGGTGTGTGTGTGTGTGTGTGTGTGTGTGTGTGTGTGTGTGTGTGTGTGTGGTGTGTGTGTGTGTGTGTGTGTGTGTGTGTGTGTGTGTGGTGTGTGTGTGTGGGTGTGTGTGTGTGTGTGTGGTGTGTGTGTGTGTGTGTGTGTGTGTGTGTGTGTGTGGTGTGTGTGTGTGTGTGGTGTGTGTGTGTGCTGTGTGTGTGTGTGTGTGTGTGTGTGTGTGTGTGTGTGTGTGTGTGTGTGTGTGTGTGTGTGTGTGGTGTATTGTGTGTGTGTGTGTGTTGTGTGTGTGTGTGTGTGTTGTGTGTGTGCTGTGTGTGTGTGTGTGTGTCCAGTGTTACTGGTTTATCTCGCAGACGGAGAAGATGAGTGGTTTAAAAGATGAGGAAGAGGACACATCTCCAGTCCCCAGCTGTCTGTCTCTGAAGTGTGACTGGTCTAGAGATCCACCTCCATACTTCAGTAATGAACCTGGACCCTCAGACACAAAGTAAGAGTTTCTGCTGTAACCTGACCTGAAGAGGATTCAGTTTTTATATCATCTAATATATTAAACTGTTCTTTAATAATATCATGTGAGCAGTTTGTACAGAACAAAGGAAGCAGAGTTCAGCAAGCTAACATTAGTTCAATCAGACAACTCCTGTGTTTCTTGGTATGTTTATTAGAAGCAGCATATAGTTTGAGTTTGGCGTCTTGGCTAAGGCCTCATCACTCCACAGATTTACCCAGAACATTGAGTGATGATTAGATACCTATCCCCCCCCCCCCCCCCCCCCCCTCCCCCTCTGTCCTATAGTATACATTGCAATGATTTCAAACCTGTTTTTATTTATCCTAATAATTATAAAGGAGTTCCTTGGAAATATGTGTTTACATAATTTGTAAACACATATTTGTTTGAGACCCACTGAGATAACTTAGACTAAAGTGAACTATCTAAACACTCAGATGCCCCTTTCACACCAACGCAACTCCGGTTCAAGCTCCGTGCTAGAGCTTTTCTGGTTCAGAACCGGTTCTTCGGTTTAGCGCCGGCTCTTTTCACACCGCTCAGAGCCCGACTGGTGCTGCCGCTGCTGCGTCATGACGTCACAGTTTACGTCGCTGAGTTTCTCCCCAACGCCGGAGCTCACTTCACAACAACAACGGGCCGGGGACTGCGTTGCTTTTAATCATACGAAGCCAGATTAAATTAAATAACGACTTCTCCAACCTTATACTTTTCTCCAGAGTGCCGTGGTTCATTGTTTATTAATGTGTTTCAGCGGCATTTACCGACCGCTGCAGTGCTGGCCGGCTGCTCTTCAACGGGAGTGTATTCTCCCGTTAGCTCCGGGTTAGCTCACACGGCTCTAAAGTATTCACTGTCTGACTGTCACACAAGCAGCTGATACATATCCCCAGTTCCCCTTAAGTGAATGTGTGTCAGTCTGAATTGACGCTGTTTGGTGTCAGTCTGAATTGACGCTGTTTGGCATCACAACGCTGTTATGAAAGTTTCTCTGGTATAACATGGGTGATGTTAGCATAGCAACCGAAGCTAAACTGACTACTTGCTAAGCCGTTTTCTACAGGCACTTTTTACCGGCGTATTTTTCATTATGATTCTACTTGTGATAGTCGGACATGACAACCTGTGCAGCCCATGTATTGATTCCATCCGATAGCTGCTATAATAACAAACAAAACGTCTGCCTGCTCTCCACAATGATCAATAACAGCGAACGGATGGTCAAAGTAAGGTACAAATAAACAGAATCACACGAAGCCTGGTTAGTGTTGCCTGACTTTATAAAGTGTGTTTTTTTTAACAAGTGTGTGGTTGCGTTCTAGTCACTTTGCTCAGCACTACTGCTTGTTACAACTTTTATTTGCCGTACTCGCCTTAACTGTTAGCTCAGGTTAATCTCGCCCCCCTCCGACGTAAGCGTGACGTATGCGGTTCTTGCTTCTAGACGGACAACTTTTTGGTGCTCGAAACGAACCGGATTCCGGAGCTATGACGCTGCTCTGCTGCGGTGTGAACAGGAAAACCCGGTGCTTTTCAAGCACCAGCACCGAACCGGCCCTGAAACACCGTTGGTGTGAAAGGGGTAAGAGAGTCCTTTACCTCACAGAGCCTCTCAGTCTGACAGGAGAGCTCTCCTCCACCCTGGTTGTAGAAACATCTACTTCTTATATCCGTTAGCGCAGCTAGCACCAGGTGCTAATAACAACAGCGCCGGTACCGGTGCGCCCTGTCTCTCTCCCTCGCTCGCTCTCTCGCTCCCATGCTCGCACTTTGGCTGTGAGCTGCGGGCGCCTGATGAGCCAACATCCCCCACTTTCATCACTTACAGCGCCCATCGTACAGGGCAAATGAAAAGTGTAACCGGGGTGAAAAGGGTGTTACATTTACTTAATTATGAATGTTGTTACATCAAGGCCGAAAATTAGGATGAGCGCCAACGGTCAAAAATGTTTTTTCCCCTCACCGAGCTACCAGCGCAGCGCCCCCCAGATCTGGCGCCCGAGGCGACCGCCTATGTCGCCTATGCCAAAAATCGGACCTGCCAGTACATACAGTGGCAATGTCTCAAGATTTAGCAAAAATACACCTCTATTGAACATACAGTAACACAAATACTACAAATCCACATAACAAACAATCAAAAATGGAAAAGGGTGGCCACTTATTATTATTTTATTAATTACATTTTTTGGGTACCTGGCTGGCGCCCCCTAGCAGTGGCGCGCATATTTCAGCAGCGGCGCTGCACCGCCGCAATTTGTATATAGGGGAAACACTGGTTTTTATGTTATCTGATCATCTAAATTGTTGTCAAATGATCGCAGTAAAGAAACTTTGTAGAGTACAGTAACAAAGTTTAAACTCTTGATCCCTGGCGTCATCAGCGATAGTAAATAATCTACATTCAGGCAGAAGTCAAAATGTGCTCTCTGAATGAACTAATGATGTTTAAAACATGTGTTGTTTCCACAGACAGAGAGCAGAGTCTCCAGTCTCCAGCTGTCTGTCTCTGAAGAGTGACTGGTCTAAACATCAACCTCCATACTTCAGTAATGAACCTGGACCCTCAGACACAAAGTAAGAGTTTCTGCTGTAACCTGACCTGAAGAGGATCCAGTTTTTATATAATCTTATATATTAAACTGTTCTTTAATAATATCATGTGAGCAGTTTGTACAGAACAAAGGCAGCAAATTACAGCAAGCTAACATTAGTTCAATCAGACAACTCCTGTGTTTCTTGGTATGTTTATTAGAAGCAGCATATAGGCCTAGGCTCCACGGGAACGAAAACGGGTTGAATCCGCATATTTCTCATGCGTATAGCCCTTTAAGCTAGACGACGCCGTAACGGAAACGTAGAAACAGACCCTGCAAACGACAACGGGTCCAAAGGTCTGGGAACGGAGTGCTCTGGGGGGTCCAACGGGGCCGTGTGGTCGCCTATACAGTCATCCGTTTCTGATAATGACGACGCAATAGCCCCGCCTCTCCCCACCTCTGCTGCTCACCCCCGCAAAAGTACACTGCACACTGAATTCAGATTATTTATCTTTATCTCGATATGGACATAAACGCGAGTGAAGTCTAATCTGACAGGATGGAGACACGCAGCTCCTCCCGCTGTGATGCAGCGGGAGCAAAACACACACTTCAAGTCAGATCATCACCCTTAGCTATTTTAATTACCTTTCAAACTACCTAAACTAGTTATAAATATGTTCTTTTTACTGTCGAGTCATCATTACTGGATCAGCTGCTGCATGAGACAGACGCTGACGCTGTCAGAAGAGAGGAAAAAGAGACAGCCTCCGTGTATTTTATGATTATATATCATTATATCGTCGTTATTCATTTGTTTTAAAGCTCAATAAATAACAAAGAAGACCTTTGACCGGCACTTTTATAATTTTGTCCGGAAGATTTAAACTTTAACACACGATGACCGGCGAAAAACTCTGCCCGGATCCCTCGGCCCCCACCGCGGAGAATAAACAGAAGTGCAGCCATGACAACCATTCTTCTTCGCTGCTTTTGTGGAGGAAGTTGCTGCTTTTGTGGAGGAAGTTACAGCGCCACGTACAGGCTCGGCATATGTACTGCAGCTTTTCCAGCGGTTGGATGTAAACGGAGCCGTCTCGTGGAGCTTGACACAATCCGGTGTATATTGCGTGTGGGCGGAAGGTTTTTTGCGATTGCGTTTGCGTTACTCCGATGCGTTTTGCCGTATGCGTTCCCGTGGAGCCGGGGCCATAGTTTGAGTTTGGCGTCTAGGCTAAGGCCTCATCACTCCACAGATTTACCCAGAACATTGAGTGATGATTAGATAACTATTCTCCCCCCCCGAGCCTACAGGTGGAAGCTCGGGTGGTGGAGGAAGCATTTAGCGAGGCAGAGGCGGCACATCTGCAGCTTTAAAAGAGGGGGGTCCGGGGGTATGCCCCCCCCCCGGGAAGATTTTTTTGAACATTTTAAAGTAAAATGCTTCAATCTGGTGCACTTTGAGCACACAATTACTAGAGACCTGATCTAGGGGGTACAACTCTAAAACACCCATATGAAAAAGATCAGTTTACATTTTAATAATCAATAAGTATGTGAACATAACCAATAACCTACCACAGCCAATAACAAATCAATGTAACTTATTTTATTTTTGTTGTTCATTTATATCTTATTTTACCTTAACATTTATTTATTTATGCATATTTTTGTATCTCTCCAACTTTAAACGATATTTTTGGTTTACTGTCCTATAGTATACATTGCAATGATTTCAAACCTGTTTTTATTTATCCTAATAATTATAAAGGAGTGCCTTGGAAATATGTGTTTACATAATTTGTAAACACATATTTGTTTGAGACCCACTGAGATAACTTAGACTAAAGTGAACTATCTAAACACTCAGAGTCCTTTAGCTCACTGAGCCTCTCAGTCTGACAGGAGAGCTCTCCTCCACCCTGGTTGTAGAAACATCTACTTCTTATATCCGTTAGCGCAGCTAGCACCAGGTGCTAATAACAACAGCGCCGGTACCGGTGCGCCCTCTCTCTCTCTCCCTCGCTCGCTCTCTCGCTCCCACGCTCGCACTTTGGCTGTGAGCTGCGGGCGCCTGATAAGCCAACACCCCCCACTTTCATCACTTACAGCGCCCATCGTACAGGGCAAATGAAAAGTGTAACCGGGGTGAAAAGGGTGTTACATTTACTTAATTATGAATGTTGTTACATCAAGGCCGAAAATTAGGATGAGCGCCAACGGTCAAAAATGTTTTTTCCCCTCACCGAGCTACCAGCGCAGCGCCCCCCAGATCTGGCGCCCGAGGCGACCGCCTATGTCGCCTATGCCAAAAATCGGACCTGCCAGTACATACAGTGGCAATGTCTCAAGATTTAGCAAACATACACCTCTATTGAATATACAGTAACACAAATACTACAAATCCACATAACAAACAATCAAAAATGGAAAAGGGTGGCCACTTATTATTATTTTATTAATTACATTTTTTGGGTACCTGGCTGGCGCCCCCTAGCAGTGGCGCGCATATTTCAGCAGCGGCGCTGCACCGCCGCAATTTGTATATAGGGGAAACACTGGTTTTTATGTTATCTGATCATCTAAATTGTTGTCAAATGATCGCAGTAAAGAAACTTTGTAGAGTACAGTAACAACGTTTAAACTCTTGATCCCTGGCGTCATCAGTGATAGTAAATAATCTACATACAGACAGAAGTCAAAATGTGCTCTCTGAATGAACTAATGATGTTTAAAACATGTGTTGTTTCCACAGACAGAGAGCAGAGTCTCCAGTCCCCAGCTGTCTGTCTCTGAAGAGTGACTGGTCTAAACATCAACCTCCATACTTCAGTAATGAACCTGGACCCTCAGACACAAAGTAAGAGTTTCTGCTGTAACCTAACCTGAAGAGGATCCAGTTCTTATATAATCTAATATATTAAACTGTTCTTTAATAATATCATGTGAGCAGTTTGTACAGAACAAAGGAAGCAGAGTACAGCAAGCTAACATTAGTTCAGTCAGACAACTCCTGTGTTTCTTGGTATGTTTATTAGAAGCAGCATATAGTTTGAGTTTGGCGTCTAGGCTAAGGCCTCATCACTCCACAGATTTACCCAGAACATTGAGTGATGATTAGATACCTATCCCCCCCCCACCCCGAGCCTAAAGGTGGAAGCTGGGGTGGTGGAGGAAGCATTTAGCGAGGCAGAGGCGGCAGATCTGCAGCTTTAATAGAGCGGCAGGTTTAGGAGATTGTGATTGGTTGGTTGTAAAAGGGACGAGGTGCGTCACGTGTAAATGTATCATTGGTGCTCGAGTTTAAGGGTATTTCAATATGCATTTATATGATCTTTTTTTTATTTTATCAGTGGCATAAAAAGGTTTTAAATGGCAAAAATATTGATAAATACTCACTAAAAACAAAATGTGTCGTCCAATACATTATTAACTACTTGGGAATGTTTATGATATGTATTTTAAAGATGTTTATTAATGATAGTGATAACCTGGTGAGCTGGTTGTGTTTAGCATTAGCAGATATAACAGAGCTTTGTGTGATTACATGTAGAGTCAATGCAAAGACCCAGATCCGTGCCTGGAGACACCAAGAAAGTGAAGAGGTGAAATTCATGTCACCTGCGTATTCGTGCAGCGTGACACATTTCATCTTCAGAGTGACGTTTGTGACGCTCTGCCCATTGGTGAGAATCAGCTCCACTAATGTGACGTGCTGTAAAGGATGTGTTCATCTCCACAGAGGGAAGAGGAAGAGTGGTGTTCCTGTGGAGGAGCAGCTGTCCAGCTGTGCTCTGTGTCAGGACGTCCTGAAGGATCCAGTCTCTACCAGCTGTGGACACTGGTTCTGCAGACAGTGCATCACCTCATACTGGGAGCAGAGACCTCCATCAGGAGACCCCTCCTGTCCCCAGTGTGGAGAAAGATCCAGAACCAGAGCTGGACTGCAGACAGCCAGTCAGACCAGCTCTGTACGAGGTAAGAGGCCGAACACATGCAGCGTCTTATTCCTCTTCCTGGTTCATTTGTTTTTGAACAGGTATACTGTTGTAGAGCATAGACAGTAAGCTGTTTATAAAATATTTAAACTCAGTCTGTTTTTATTAGTTTTATTGTTATATTCTCAGAGCATTTCCCTCATTCTCTCATGTTTCCTTCTCTTCCAGCAGATAGTGGTCTGCAGGAGGTTTTAGATGAACATAGGCTCAGTCTGAGGAGGAGATGTGAACGTGTGACTGAAGGAACTGATCAAAGTGAAACCCTCCTCAACAGGATCTTCACTGAGCTCTACATCACACAAGGCCAGAGTGAAGAGGTTAATACCCAACATGAGGTGAGGCAGCTGGAGACAGCTTCCAAGAAGAAGCCCCTCCATGACACTCCAATCAAGTGCCAGGACATCTTTAAAGCCTTACCTGACCAACAGACTCTCATCAGAGCGGTCCTGACCAACGGAGTCGCTGGAGTTGGAAAAACCTTCTCAGTGCAGAAGTTCACTCTGGACTGGGCCGAGGGTTTGGGAAACCAAGATGTCAGTCTGGTGATCCTGCTCTCCTTCAGGGAGCTGAACCTGATCAAAGGTGAGCAGTACAGTCTTCTCAGGCTGCTCCATGATTTCCATCCAACCTTACAGAAGGTCACAGCAGAGCAGCTGGCTGTCTGTAAAGTGCTGCTCATCTTTGACGGCCTGGATGAAAGCAGACTTTCTCTGGACTTCAGAAACAATGAGGTTGTGTCTGATGTCTCACAGCAGTCCTCAGTCAACGTGCTGCTGACAAACCTCATCAGGGGGAAGCTGCTTCCCTCGGCTCTCGTCTGGATAACTTCCAGACCTGCAGCGGCCAATCAGATCCCTCCTGAGTGTGTGGACAGGGTGACAGAAGTACGAGGCTTCACTGACGCCCAGAAGGAGGAGTACTTCAGGAGGAGATGGAGTGATGAAGACCTGTCCAGCAGAATCATCTCTCACATCAAGAGCTCCAGGAGCCTCCACATCATGTGTCTGATCCCAGTCTTCTGCTGGATCACTGCTGCAGTTCTGGACCACATGTTGACTACAGACCAGAGAGGAGAGCTGCCCCAGACCCTCACTGACATGTACTCACACTTCCTGCTGGTCCAGACCAAGAGGAAGAAGCAGAAGTATGAAGAGGGACATGAGACGAGTCCACAGCAGCTGACGGAGGCTGACAGGGAGATTCTTCTGAAGCTGGGGAGGCTGGCGTTTGAACATCTGGAGAAAGGAGACATCATGTTCTACCAAGAAGACCTGCAGCGCTGTGGTCTTGACGTCACCGAGGCCTTGGTGCACTCAGGAGTTTGTACACAGATCTTCAAAAGAGAGAGAGTGATCTTCAGGAAAACAGTCTACTGCTTTGTTCATCTGAGCATTCAGGAGTTTCTGGCTGCAGTCTACATGCTGCACTGTTACACCAACAGGAACACAGAGGTACTGAAGCACTTCCTGCAGGGAGACTATGACAACAGCAGAGATCAGGATTACCCATCCCTGCCTGTCTTCCTGGAGGGAGCCATGGAGAAATCCCTCCAAAGTGAAAATGGCCACCTGGACCTGTTTGTCCGCTTTCTCCACGGCCTCTCTCTGGAGTCCAACCAGAGACTCTTAGGAGGCCTGCTGGGTCGCACAGACAACAGACCAGAAACCATCCAGAGAGCCATCAGCAACCTGAAGGAGATGAGAAGTTCTAAAATCTCTCCTGACAGGAGCATCAACATCTTCCACTGTCTGACAGAGATGAAGGACCTCTCAGTACATCAGGAGATCACAGAGTTCCTGAAGTCAGAGAACAGATCAGAGAAAAAACTCTCTGAGATCCACTGCTCTGCTCTGGCCTACATGCTGCAGATGTCAGAGGAGGTTCTGGATGAGTTGGACCTGGAGAAGTACAACACATCACGGGAGGGACGACTGAGACTGATTCCAGCTGTGAGGAACTGCAGGAAGGCCAAGTAAGTCCAGATGTGATTACCTTTTATAGACTAATGTGGATCAGAAGTTTAATTTTTCAAATAAACACGATAACATTTCTGCTGTTTAAATACTGAGAGCAAAATAAAACCAACACATTTCTTCTATTTATTTATTTATTTATAATAATAGTTCAATTGTACCGTTTCTCTCTTCATGCTCCTTTGAGTGATGGAGGCGACATGTCAAACACATGAAGGACTTCAAGGATTCAAGGCTTTTATTGTCATGTGTACATAGCTACAGTGTAGATATGACAATGAAAAGCTTAGGTCACAGGCTCCTCCAACAGTGCAACACAATAAAACAGATAATAGTGCAAGTAAATCAAATCAAATATAATAGAAATTGTGCAGAATAGTCTATATCAGCGGTTCCCAACCTTTTTCAACTCAGGGCCCACTTAAGAATCAATTTATTTTTCGTGGCCCACATTCAACCATAAACAATACGGAGGCTAAATAAAGTTCTGATTGGTCGATTCAGAACATGTGACACGTTGTTAATCCAGAAGAACAGACCGCTGTCAAGGACTGTAATGACGTTGCTAAGGAGGATCAAGAAAGAGAAAGGAAAAGAGATTCAAATAAAAAAAATCTTAATAATGAAAATGTTTCCACACAAATCATAATGTTTTGCAAATTATTTGGCAGCAAATATTGAATTTACATTTACACCCTTTAATATTTAATTTGGGCTTTTAGATGAAGAGCGCACACAGTTAATAAATACAACAATTTTTCTGGCTAAAATACATATTTAAAAAAATACAATTTCTTTTGAAAAGAATTATTGCCACAAAATATCAAAGGGTGGCTCAACACGCCATGAAATGGGAAATGATTAGCTCTAACGAGGAGTGGGATTAAAGGAACAATAAATATGCTTGCCATGTTGTGTTTTTGGTGGTATTTGGTTGTCAACCTATTTTTGTTTGTGAAATGTTGAAGTGACCCTACTGACTGTATCTTTATTTCTTCTGTATAAAGATTATTTGGCGGCCCACTTGCAATGCCTTCGCGGACCACTAGAGGGCTGCGGCCCACAGGTTGGGAACCACTGGTCTTTATAATAGTCAACATCTATAATAGTCATGTAATTATTGATTGATAGAATATTGATATATATAAGTTGCAAACAGATGAATGTTATGGATGTTCTTTCAAAAGTTCAGGTGTTTAACAATCTTATGGCCGGTGGGATGAAACTGTCCCTGAGTCTGGTTGTTTTAGTCCTGATGCTTCAGAACACAAACTGTTCTGTCTGCGCCTGCCAGACGGCACAGACAGAACAGTTTTTTATAATCCTGAGGGCTTTCTTCCTGAGCCGCTGGGAGTAAAGGTCCTCCATGGATGGCAGCTCCGTCCTGGTGATGCAGTTTTCACCACCCTCTGTAAAGTCTTATGGTTGAGGGCGGTGCAGCTGCTGTACTTTAGAGGTTTCTCACAGCAGCTCGTGATCACACCACACAGCAGGACTTACAGTTATCAGTGAAAGCAGTTATTATTACTTTCGAGTAGTTTCTTTATCATTAAACAGACACACACGTTTTTATCACAATGTTTTAGAGTTTAAAATAAGATCTATATCATTTCCCACCAATAACAGAGTTATGTCTTAATGCTGATATACTGGGAACATCTGATGGTATTCAATTGAACATATTGAAACTTTATTGTTTTGTTAATTGTGTTTGTGTGCACAATAAATGTTCAGATGCTCAGAGAAGCCTTCATATATCATTCACATCCGAACATTAAGAGCGGGATAATGTGCAGCGAGGCGGTCATTATGGGGAAAAGACAGCCGACACTTGTTCCTGTTTACTTCCTGTCTGCCTTCTGTTCTTTTATCTGACATCCAGCGCTCTGTCTTTTAACCTCCTTTCCTTTCTCTTTCTTGATCCTCCTTAGCAACGGTCATTATAGTCCTTGACAGCGGTCTGTACTACTGTATTAACAACGTGTCACCTGTTCTGAATTGACCAATCAGAATCGAGTATTCAGCTAAGCCGTGTAATAATTAACATTTAAATATTTTTGTTTAATTTATAATTATTTTGGTAACAGTCAGTGACAGCAGGAGCACAGACATGTGATCAGATCACACTGACAACTCATTACACTCTATTATCATATATTATTATATATTATATTAAATGGACTAACAGCAAATGTCTTTCAGAACATGTCAAATCAAATCTTTTTTCATCAAATGCTTGAGGTCAATATAATATTCCCTCTTTTTTTAACACATGTTATAATATATGTTTTATTATAGACTTAGTGGCTATGGACTCTCAGGGACTGAATGTGAAGTCGTGGCCTCAGCTCTGAAGTCTGACCCCTCTCATCTGAGAGATCTGGACCTGGGTCAGAACATTCTGATGGATTCAGTAGTGGAGCTGCTGAGTTCTGGACTAAAGAGTCCAAACTGCAGACTGGAGGCTCTCAGGTCAGTTCACTGACTGCAGTTCATATTGATCTGTTTGTGTTTATGATTTTCTGAATTTGAACAAATACAATGTTATTTTAATTTTTTCCATTTTTGCTAATGACTGAATATTGATCAGAGTAACAGAGAGAAGGTGAATGTGTGAGGGAGAGTGTTTGAGCTTCCACAGACTCACTCTGTGCTCCAGGAGTCATTGGAGATGCTGTCAGTACTGATGAGCTGTGAGGGAGATGAAGGAGTTGTTCAACATCTGATCAAAGTTAAAGTTCCAGATTATTAGTGGATTGTTTCTGCATCATCTCTGACATTAAAACCCTGTTTCACTCTGAACAGATTATTAAACCTGGAGTTATTTCAAACAGGAACATTGTTTTCTAAAGTTACATCATGTTTTCTTTATTCAGACTGTGGGGCTGCAGTCTGTCAGAGATCAGCCGGGCTGCTCTGATCTCAGCTCTGAAGTCCAACATCCATCTGAGACATCTGGACCTGAGTGAGAACGATCTGCAGGATTCAGGAGTGGAGCTGCTGAGAGATCTTGTGGAGAGCCCAGACTGCAGACTGGAGACCCTCAGGTCAGTAAGGGGTCTCTGCTGGTTCAGCAGTATTGTATGAAACACAGGGAGGTGTTTCTCTCACTGGGGAATCACAACAGATCAGTGATGTTACCCACTGACTGCAGGCTCTTTCATTCTTCCATCAACTATAGAAGGCCAGCTGAAAATGCAAAGCCACATTTAGTAAGTAATCAACTTTCCACCAGACATATGGGATTTGACAGAAGAGTGGAAAAGGTAGTCTGTTTTTGATGGGATGTTTTTGGACTCTGAAGCTGACTCAAAGAACAAACACTTATTTTAAACTGGATCCATAACTGTTGGATTGTGTTCATCCCTACAGGATCAGAGGCGAGACGATCAGAGCCAACATCCAGAAGAACTGTGAGTACTGAATATCCTCCATTCATCAAGATATGAAACTCTTTCATGGAGCATGTCCTCAGAGGAAAACAACACTCTTGTTTTTCTGTCCATCATTTTGACTGTTTCTCTTTAGGTTATCATCATTATTCATAACACGGAATACAATGTAGTTCAGTCCGACAACTCCTGTGTTTCTTGATATGTTTATTAGAATCAGCATATAGTTTGAGGTTGGCGTCTAGGCTCGGGCCTCATCACTCCACAGATTTACATAGAACATTGACTAATGATTAGATAACTATCCCCCCAAAACTGCGTGGAGATTATCTGGTACTTGAGTAAAAGTAGAAGTACTCAGATCTTGTACTTGAGTAAAAGTAGAAGTACTCAGATCTTGTACTTGAGTAAAAGTAGAAGTACTCAGATCTTGTACTTGAGTAAAAGTAGAAGTACTCAGATCTTGTACTTGAGTAAAAGTAGAAGTACTCAGATCTTGTACTTGAGTAAAAGTAGAAGTACTCTGATCTTGTACTTGAGTAAAAGTAGAAGTACTCAAATCTTGTACTTGAGTAAAAGTAGAAGTACTCAGATCTTGTACTTGAGTAAAAGTAGAAGTACTCAGATCTTGTACTTGAGTAAAACTAGAAGTACTCAGATCTTGTACTTGAGTAAAAGTAGAAGTACTCAGATCTTGTACTTGAGTAAAACTAGAAGTACTCAGATCTTGTACTTGAGTAAAAGTAGAAGTACTCAGATCTTGTACTTGAGTAAAACTAGAAGTACTCAGATCTTGTACTTGAGTAAAACTAGAAGTACTCAGATCTTTTACTTGAGTAAAACTAGAAGTACTCAGATCTTGTACTTGAGTAAAAGTAGAAGTACTCAGATCTTGTACTTGAGTAAAAGTAGAAGTACTCAGATCTTGTACTTGAGTAAAACTAGAAGTACTCAGATCTTGTACTTGAGTAAAAGTAGAAGTACTCAGATCTTGTACTTGAGTAAAACTAGAAGTACTCAGATCTTGTACTTGAGTAAAACTAGAAGTACTCAGATCTTTTACTTGAGTAAAACTAGAAGTACTCAGATCTTGTACTTGAGTAAAACTAGAAGTACTCAGATCTTGTACTTGAGTAAAAGTAGAAGTACTCAGATCTTGTACTTGAGTAAAAGTAGAAGTACCAGAGTGTAGGAATACTCTGTTACAGTAAAAGTCCTGCATTCAAAATGTTCCTCAAGTAAAAGTAGAAAAGTATTCTCATCAAAATATAGTGAAAGTAGCGACAGTAAAAGTAGTCATTGTGCAGATTGGTCCATTTCAGAATAATATGTAAGGGATAATGTGCAGTGACGCGGTCATTATGGGGAAAAGAACACCGACAGGCTGATCAGGAGCCCGACGCGAAGCGGAGGGATCTAGATCTGCATGAAGGTGTTCTTTTCCCCATAATGACCGCGTCGCTGCACATTATCCCGCTTATTACATGGCCACATTCTCAACAAAGTAATGATATGACTCCCACTATTAATTGAAATGCTTTTATGGATTTAGAAAATGATTTTATTGATTTAAAAAATAGTTGTATGTATTAATTTAAATTGACATGCATCCGCTAAGGAAAATAGTCCGTTGTTACCGTTTGAAAAACATAGCAACGGCAGGAAGGCGGAGCTTTTTGATTACAGATTTGAAAACATCGTTGCTTGCTTTAAAAGTAGCACAATTCATGATGTCAAACCTTGGAAAGTATCTAGATATCCCTGCCCTAATGCCAAAGTAACTGGCAACTGAATATGTGTCGCCGTTTGATGTCTATGTCTGGACCGCTGCGTAAAAAGGAGGGTTTCTGCCCGTTACTTCTCCGCTGTTTCCTTGTCGCTCTTGTCTTGTCAGTTAGAAAAGCAAACTGCATGCAGTTTGCTTTTCGGCCAAACTGTATACACAGTTAAATCGAACGGACTTCTTTGTGCAGATGTGAGCGTCCTTAACAACGGTCAATAAATCCTTGACAGCGGTCTGTCTGTTCTGGATTAACAACGTGTCACGTGTTCTGAATTGACCAATCAGAATCGAGTATTCAACTAAGCCATGTAATAAATATGATATGTTTTATAATGATTGATCATTAAAGTGTTCTCAAAGCTGGTAAAGGTGCAGCTAGTTTGAATGACTTTGTATACTGCAGGGTAGCTTGTGAATTTACTCCAGGTGGAACTAAAGTCTGATTTAACACTTGATTAGATTTCACATCATTCATCCAGATCTGTAAAGTAACTAAAGGTATTGAATACATGTCGTGGAGTAGAAGTACACCATGTACCTCTGAACTGTAGTGGGGTAGAAGTAAAGTAGCATATCATGGAAATACTCAGGTAAAGTACAAGTACATCAAAATTGTACTTAAGTACTAAAGTACACTGTAAAAAAAAAAACGTTGTTTTTACGGTAAAAACCTGGCAGCTTTGTTGCCAGAATAATGATGTAAAAAATACGGTAAACTGTAAACAACTTTACAGAACAACGTGTATATTTTACAGTTTAAAACTGTTGTAATTTACATTTTAAATCTGTCATTTCAACAGCCCTTTTCTGCTGAATTAGCATGATCACGTTGCTATTAAACTGATTATTTCAGTAAGATTTACATGCAGTTGTTGTCTATTGTACATTGAATCCCATTCAATTTTACAGAAAAATACCAAACAAATAACACTGTTTAACTGTAAAAGCATCAGTGTAATGCTGTAATTTAACTGAATTTTCCCGCAAATTGTAATCAAAAGTTGTGTATAATTTAGTGTATTTTGCCGTAGTAATGACGAGTTTTACAGTGAAAGCAACATCTAAATACTGCAATTTAAATTTTCTGTAAAATGTATTTATTACAATTGAAATGCAGAAAAAACTGTTCTATGAATAGCAATCTCAAATATATATAGTATAAAACCGCCTGTAAGGATTATTGATATATAAAAATGTTTTTCCTATACATTAGTCAGATTGAAAGATTTCATTTAAACTACACTGCCTTCGTATATATATGTTTGACTATTACCAGAAATGTGAAGAATGTAATCCAGGGTACACAGATTAAGCACTTAAAATTTAAAATGCAAAGCTAGATAAACCTCAAGAGCCACTGTATTAAAAGTTGAAAAAATTCCAACAAGAACTTGCCTTTCCAAGAATTTATTATATATATATAATAGCAGTGATCAAAAACATCTGTCATTTCTCAACATACATATTGGTAAAACATACAAACTAAGGCTGCACAATAAACAAACAGCTCACATTGTCCAGGAAATTCAAGCTGAACAAAGTTGAGAGGTTACTTGCATCACATCAAATGATTTATGGGAAATAATGTTTTTAAATATTTTAGTACTTTATATGTCTCATCTCTTATAGTGGGCACCTGTATAATATAATACTCGACTGTCACAGCCACAGACTGAGCTGTAACTTAGCCAAAATAATGGATTGTCTTAGTTGAATACATGTTCATTGCTAAAGGAAGTGTGTACGTGATGAAGCTACAGTTGCAAAACACATGTGTGTGTGTGTGTGTGTCTAAGTGAGATAGGTGAAGAGGTAGGGTCAGCAGAGACCCTTCACTTCAGAAGCAAAAACCCAAGTGGAAAACAAAACAAAACCACCCAGTGGAGTGTAACACATCAACATTTTTACACTCAACAGTGATGTCCTGGGGCCTCATTTATAACGCCTTGCGTAGGATTGACGTAGGAAGGTTGCTTACGTAGTACAAAGCACAAAAATAGGTACATACATTTTCCGCCATTTTCCGATTCACAAAACGTTGCGTACCGGCGAGGGAAGTGCGTACGGCACTCCCTACGCCTGTTTCCCTTGATAAATCACAATCGACTCGTAACGCCCATATTTGCCTATAAATAGTCAAAGAAACGCCCATTCATTCATTCATTGTGACTGACTGCATGAAGAAGATCGCAGGAAATTACGATAGAACAGCTAAAAAAGACATCTCACACCGTGTCAGATTTTGGTTATTTTGGGGAGGTCGAGATAAATCATATTGTTTGGTGGATGCAGTTTGAACCAGAGTAGCAGCATGGAGGTCGGATCGTCACCAAAATAAATAAATAAGTGGTCCGAAAAAAGTTAATGACAAAACAAATACACATAACCTTCCTCAGGCAGTGTGTTTGTCCCGGGGACAGGAGACACCCCCCTTGATGAGAAACTGTAAGAAATGATCGGGGAATCCCTCCGGAGTGGAGTCATGACGACTGGATCTGAATTATTTTTGTTGTATTTGGTGGTTTGTGTTCCAGCTGTCGATCAGCAACTATATATCCATAATCCACCAGTTAAAGGAAATACAACTAATGGATTGTGTTATATTAGCTGTACAATTTACCACATATGGTGTTCTTAGTTTCCATACCTCCTGTGTTTTACAAGCGACTTATCAAGTCTTGGCAAACGGCATAAAACACGATTAAACGTGATAGTATATAAAACCATGCTCGTATCTACAACCTATAGAAATGCAAAACGGCGTCAGTTTAGACGTAATTCTGTCCTCCTGCTTACCGCATCATTTATGAGAAAACATTTCATAACATTAACACAACATATTCGAGGTGGTTTTAAATAGCATATCCGTATTTATTTATTTCTCCAAGTTATGTTTTTGTGTGCACTGAGGAGTCTCAAACAGGCGTTTGTTTAATCATTTTAAGATTGGCTTTAATCAATGTTTGAAAATGAATTATTCATATTTGATAAATGAGGTAACATTTTATTTATGGTATTATTTCCACATATTTCTCTCCATTCTTCCTTCTGCCAACGGTGTCGCAGTTTCTCGTCTCTCCCGTTTGTGTGCTTAGTGCGTACGCATGGGTTAGAGTTTGCGTGGAGGACCGCACATTTTCCCGTCAAGTTAGTATTTTATAAATCGCAAACATTGCGTAGAAACTGGCGTACGCCATTTTTTGAGCGTATATCCCTTTATAAATGAGGCCCCTGAGCTTTTACAATGACCTTAAAAGAATAGTTTGACATTTTGAGAGTTACATATTGCATTTTTTTAAATTAGTTAAAAGAACATGGAAAAAAAAGGCACTTCAAATGTTAACTACGATTTAAACAATCAAACAAACTGTAACTTGGGCACATCGCTACATGCCATTGATCTTACTGTCCATATTCAGACATCACGCCACTCATGGTCCGAAAGTTCCTGTATCAAGGTGAGGACTCTCGGGTTCACCTGAAGACGGGATGCACGTGTCTTCTTCACTTTGGTGCCTTCTCTGGGTTGATGGAGAAAAAACACCTTAAAATAAAAATACAAACAAACAACAGAATTAATAATGAAATAGCTTGCCTAACAACAAAAAAACTTCACATCAATCTTATTATTTTGAAGCCAAAATGACAATTATCTTAGCCCCCAATTCACTGAAGCAGCTGCTTTAGATTTGTTGCAGTTTAATAAAATAAATTGTTGGATAAAGCCAATCCCAAAAAACACATACCTCTGGACAAACTCCAGGGTGGATGCCAGCTCTGACGGGTAGGCGATGTTGAAGCAATAATAGCTCCCAAACATCATGGACAGGGCAGAAACCAAGGAGGGGATGTTGTCCTGTACTATGTTTCGATCCACACTCAGCATGAATCGCCTTGAAGAATAGCATGATCGTCCTAAAAATGAAGAAAAACACAATTCAAACTAAATTAAAACAAGACTTGTCTTCCTGAAATATTTCACAAAACAATTTTAGCACACATTTTAAGGTCTGTTAAATTGCTCACCATCAATACAAAAATGTATGTATGTGTATTTGCAGGTTAAGGGGAGATAAATGTAATGTCAATTTGACTTGCTTTTAGGGGATAGTTCATATTGTTTGAAGGGGGGTTGTAGGAGCTACAGTTTGGAGAAACAGAGAGGAGAACCAGCAGACAGCTAAGCAATGCACTGCTGTGGACATAGTTAAGCCACCAAAAAAACTAAAACAATATTACTCTTAGTGTATGCTATATTAAAGAATATTTTCAAAGCTCTACCTTGCTGTCAGACAGCTATACAGTCTGTTTCTGATAGGGACTGAAGCAGCAGGGTACATTTGTGACAATATTATAAATATAGCGTACACGTAAACTGAATTTTTAGGTGGCTAAAATACGTTTCGCTGCTGCACCCATCCACAGCTTTACATACGTACCCGTACTCCTGCCTGTTCCTCCAAAGACATGCAAGTAATACACTGACTATGGATAAGTATCCATAAGCATCCAAACTAGCCCTTTACGAGCTTACAGTAACAAAAAACATTGTGCAACATAAACGTCTCAAATTAGACAGAAAAGAGAGAAAGAAGTGGCAGAAAGAACAGAAAAAGTAGACTGCCAGTTAACTTTGAACCCCCTCAGATGTAGCTTCAAACCCCCCACTTCACAACAGCATGAATTAAACGAAAATAAAGAGTTCAGCTTTTAGCATGATACTTCAATAACGTTACCAGACTATTTAAATTAACTCCCGGTCAGTAGACGTTATAACTATGACTGCAAAATGCACTCAATCACAAACAGAAGCTAGTATTGTCCTGACAACACACCGTGTTATAATTGAAGTTTGAAGAAAATAAACGGTTAGCTTACCAGTGCTACAGATGTGATCCTGTGCTCATGTGCACACAGCTCCGTGGCAGGCAGACTTGAGACAGACTTGGCCGCGCCCTGAGCCGTAACCGTTAACCTGCAAAAACGGCAGGTAATCATTTTTAGCACGCTAACATGACTGCCCGTTAAATTTGAACCCCCTCAGATGTAGCTTCAAACCCCCCGCTTCACAACAGCATGAATTAAACGAAAATAAAGAGTTCAGCTTTTAGCATGATACTTCAATAACGTTACCAGACTATTTAAATTAACTCCCGGTCAGTAGAAGTTATAACTATGACTGCAAAATGCACTCAATCACAAACAGAAGCTAGCATTGTCCTGACAACACACCTGTTTGCTTGCAGTTCGCGCCAACACATTTGAAAAAACACTTATGCAATGCAGAACATAAACCCTCAACGTTTTGCTGCAAAATGCACTCAATCACAAACAGAAGTTAGTTTTGTCCTGACAACACACAGTGTTATAATTGAAGTTTGAAGAAAATAAAAAGTTAGCTTACCAGTGCTACAGATGTGATCCTCCGCTCATGTACATACAGCTCCGTGGTCCGTGGAAGGCAGACTTGAGAGACAGACTTGGCGCGCACTGAGCCGTAACCGTTAACCTGCAAAAAGTGGCAGCTCCCGCGATAATTAAATAGTCCAATGAAATAACAGAAACAAACTATACTGCTCAGTAGGCGTGTCTCAGTTCAGCGGCCGTTTCCTTCGGAGGCGTTCCATTACTGTTTGGGCTGTCTGCCGTGGGCTGCATTCCACTCCAAATAGCCGGTCAGCCGCAGAATCCAAACGCCAGCTGTTTTATGGATTCTCATTTAATTTCCAAGAATATCTCAGTACTGGGTTATTTCCAATTTCAAAAATAAATATATGTATTAAACAAATAGAAATAAGAAGTAAGTATATTATAGTATATTCCAGAATGAAAAAATATAAAAAAACATGATTTTAACACTGTCATGTTGTAATTTTAACTGTATTGTATTGTTTTATGTATTACAGTTTTTCTGTGTTCAAACCACAGTAATCTGTAAATTATACAATGAAATATAATTATTTTAACATATTCTTAATGTGAATTTAACAGTTTTGTTTGGTTCAGTACTTTACGAAATATTACTGTAAATTAAACACTGCTTCATTGTTTCTCTATTTACAGTTTTTTGATGTTGTGATTTTACAGCTTTTCCCTGTTAATTTCACAGACTTTTTTTACAGTGTACAATTGTGAGCAAATCTACTTACAGTTACTTGCCACGACTGGTTAGCTTTCATATAAAGTCTCTTTAAAAACAGAGATAGGATTACATGTTTTCCATCAAAAAGGGAATTGCTTATATTAAGACAAATCTTTTGTCTTTGTTCCTGTGGTGGAGGAAGTGTTATGATACGTCAGAAAAACACAAGTATGAATATCACACTGTCAACAAATCTGGTACAAGTATAGTCTTATGTTGGCTTTCAGTTATAGTATAAAAAAGTCTCCTGTATCTCTTTCTATATAGTATACCCTTATATTATTCAAATGTATGCAATAATGTGAAAGCTGGATTTAACTGTTGTAAATTGTTGGAGCTCATATAAAACTATTTACTAATAATTATTTGCGTTATGGAATAATCCGTTGATTTCTCGGTTTGTAATGAAAATGATGAAAAATGATCCTAAAGTGACACATTTGTGATGGTTGTGAAGTCCTAACCTCAACATTATCATTATTAACATTATTAAAAATGGAAACAGCCTAACTAACTAATAAAGTATCTCAAAGTTGTACTTAAGTACAGTGCTTGAGTAAATGTACTTAGTTCCTCTCCTGGTCTGTAAAGCTCTCCCAACATATGCAGGTTAGCATCCGGCAGCTTCTATGTGCTGGGGACCCGTACTGTACATTTCTCTCATCACACTTTGGGCTCCTCAACATGTGTGGGTTCCCAGCAGGACTCTCTGAGCTGCAGACACATTCTTTCTGTGACTTTGTTCCAGATATTTGGAGCATAATAACTGAAGCTGTTTCTCCATGTTCAGGAACTCCCATCCCCCGAGTCCTGCGGCAGGAAGCGCTCCTTCTCTCCAAGAACTCCTGGACCCTGCAAGCTGGTCCAGAACCAGAGTCACAGTGAGGAGTCCAGCCAGTCCACCTCTCAGAGTTAAACTAAACTACAACATTATTAAAGATCATGTTTAAAGTTAAAAAAGGATGCTTTCAGACTGAATCCAGAAGTTTCTCAAGCTGCAGTCAAAGCAGATCATTTGTATACATTTTTTTTATAAAACTTAAACAAGTCTGCTGAATAGGCAGGTATGATGATAGCTGCAACCCGCTCCTGTGTTCAACTGCTTCTCATTTCATTATAATAATCAGGGGTGCACATAACTTTTTTGCCCTGGTTCTCAAAGGAGCACCTGGAGATGTTGCTTGGTGCGCATCCTTAAGATGAAATAAACCGGACCTTTTGAGGGGTAGCCTACTTGAATTTATGAACGGGGGGGGGGAGGTGCGCTAGTGAGCACGCTCATGAACTGTTCGCCAGAGCCTCGCAGCAGGGTTACTGTGCGGAGCGCATAAAGCAGACCCTTCACGAGGGGTAGAGCGAGGGATCGCAGATGCCGTCGTGCTCGAGGACGGATTAAAACAATTAAACCTAAATGGCTCGCGAATTATACTTTGGCAGGCATTAATCAAGTCGCATATTTTTTTACTTGAGACTTGCTTGACTAACATTGATAAAAGACTTGACTTGACTTTGACTTGGTATTCATGACTTGAGACTTGACTTAAGCTTGAGACAGATGACTTGAAAGGACTTGACTGTTTACAATTAAATATTTGCGTTTGTTTTTGTATTGAGATATTACGTTTAGTGTTTTCGAAAAACGTGATTGGGTGATTATAGCGCCGTGCGCGCAAACCTGGCAACCCACTAGACGGCAGGAGTGTCAGTTAACATGGCAGCGGCTAGCGTTACTCCACAAATAGTGAAGTTTGGATTCAAGGATTATGTTGTCGATGACGCTAATAAGAGAACAGCGGTATGCAGGGTCTGCAGCATAAAGATCAGTGACACGACCACCACAACATCCAACTTCATTCGTCACTACAAAAAACCCCACAGAGAAAGGTGCGTGAATGTGTTGTGCTAGCTAGAAAGCTAACGTTAAGTTTAAGCTACGTTAGACTTGGTTTCAAATCGATTAAGCATTGCAAAGAGAAGACAAAACGGTAAATGAACACTAGAACCGCCAAGGGATTCATTTTGACTAACCCCGATACTGACGCTGTCAGGAGGGGGAGAGAGAGAGAGGAAAAGAGATGCCTCGTTTATTTCCCCTGTGTTATTATCAGAAGTTACTGTAAACTGTTGAATAATGTAGTTCATCTACTTTTAGTAGTTTGTTTAAATGTTTTAATTATGTTGTTTTTGTTTGTAGAAGTGCATAATTCCTTGATTTATTGTAAAATGAATCTGAACTTTTTGATCCGTTATGATGATAAACTGAAGCAATTTCAAAGTGAACCCAATTAACTGAGTTTTAAATCTTCCTACTTAGTTATCAGGGATGCAAACTTGTCACCTTTCGGCGAAATTCGCCGTTTTGAATCCAAAATAGGTCGTTTGTGTGATTCATGTAGATCTGCAATAAAAATATGTTTGGGGTATGGGGGGCGTCTGGGACCCGGAGTAATCTGCGGCCGCGAGCTGTTATGTGCCATGGTGTTCTTTTTTTATATTCGGTGCGTTCGTTAATATTAACTGTGTGGTCCGGAGTCACTGTGGCACAGACTGGACCGCTGGTGAACAGCTGTTAGAACGGGCCGTTCAGGTGTTCAGAAATGTATGCACAAGTTTTAGACCAATATCACTTATAAAATCAGAAATCAAACTTTATGCCAAAGTAATACGACAACGCACCAAGCGCCTCGGACAGTCCTTTGTGCCTGTAGCCATCAGGCTGCACAACAAGGGGTCAAAAATGTAAAAAAAATATGTATATATGCTGACAGTTATTTTACTCTTATTTTTACTCATCTCCTATTTCATAGTCTTTTATTATTATCATTATTATTTAAATGTTTTCTTTTCTTGATTTTCTTTTTGATTTTATTAATCTGTTTGAATCTTTGCTGTCCTGTTTTTTCACGCTTACCCTGTTGCTGCTTGTACAACTGAATTTCCCCACGGTGATTAATAAAGGTCCATCTTATCTTATCTTATTAATAGCTCGACGATTGGAGAAAGTCCTTCCAACATTAGTTCATTATGACCAAACAGGCTTTATGAAAAAACGATTCTCATCAGATAATATCAGGAGACTACTGCATGTTATTCATTTTGCAGCAGACATAACATCGCCTTGCGCCGTATTATCAGTTGATGCTGAAAAAGCTTTTGACAGGCTAGAATGGCCATTTTTGTGGCATACAATGCAAAGAATGGGTTTTGGGGCAAAATGTATGATTATGTTGAAGATCCTATATAATAATCCAAGTGCTATGGTTCTGACAGGCAATCAGTGGTCACCTAGATTTCCAATTCTACGTGGCACACGGCAAGGTTGCCCTGTCTCCACACTTCTGTTTGCAATTTCTCTAGAACCGCTTGCACAGAAAATAAGACTATCCAAAGAAGTAAAACAGATAGTTCAATCAGGAGAGACGTTGATGTATGAAATACATATTTATTACCGGGACACATAATATGAATGTAATAATGATTGCCAGAATTATAACAGGTGAATGGAATGGTGTTTGGCGACTAGGCCCCAGTTTGCAGGATAATCATTCAGGAGGGGAAGAACCGCTCCGATGAAACCCCCCGGGGTCTAGACACTGGTGGTGGTGATAAGTAGGTGGGACGGGTCTGAAGGGAGAAGGTTTAGCTTGGCCCTGAAGGAGACGGCAGGCGAGAGGGGTGGAGGAGGGTTGCGTATTGTCACCTGAAATGACAGCTGACAAGAGGGAAGAGCAGATTTAAAGGGATTAGCGGGTGCAACGATAGGCTTGTGAGAATGGAGAGAGTAGTGATTGGTTAGCTGGGGAGTGACGCCCCCGATCACTTAATGAGGGAGGAGAGAGAATTGAAATGACATGTAATATGAATGAAGAGCTTGGTCTTCCTGATAGAACTTGCGCTGAGCTTTCATTTGTAAAAGAGACAGACCACAACATTTTGTTATATGCGGATGATCGACTACTGTACTTGGACGAGGTACCAACTACGCTTCCTAAGCTGTTAAATATCTTTACCCAATTTAGTTCAATATCTGGTTACAAGATCAATTTGAATAAATCATGTCTTTTACCCCTCAATAGTGCCATGGTTGAACTAAACCTAAATACAGAATTGCAGATCGTCCAACACTTTAAGTATTTGGGAATCGATATATATGTCTCATTCGACACAATAGTAGCAAAGAACTACAAAAGAATGTATACAACAATTAAAGATGACCTAAAAAAGTGGATTAATATAACAATTTCTTTAGCTCGACGAATTTCAATCATAAAGATGAATGTTCTACCAAGAGTCAATTTCTTAGCTAGTATGTTACCTTTATCTCCACCAGACGGTTTTTGGGACAAACTTCAGAATAGGATTTCAAAATATATTTGGAAAAACCAATACCCAAGAATCAGATACAAAGTTCTA